GCGATAAAGAAGAAACCAAATTAGTAAGAAAACAAAAACAAAACAAACAAACAAAAAACCCAAAACAAACCAGACCACTGCCATCAAGTCAATAGCAACAATATAGAACAGAGTAGAACTGTTTCATAAAGTTTTCAAGGCTGTAAATCTTTATGGAAGCAGACTGCCTCATCTTTCTACTACGGAGTGGTTGGTGGTTTCAAACTGCTGACTTTTTGGTTAGCAGCCAAGTGCTTTAAGCATTGCTCTACCGGAGCTGCTTAAATTTGTAAAAGCATAGAAAAATAACCATTTTACTAGTAATCAAAACAACAAATTTAGATGATTTTTCATGTATTAAATTAGCAAAGTTGAAGAAAATTTAATATATGTTAAGGAAACATATATTATACAAGATTATATAGACAACCACATATTTGAGATTGCACATTAATACATTTTTAGAAAACAACTTAGCAGTAAGTATCAAAAACAAAACAAAACGACCCAAACTCATTGCCGTCGAGTCAGATCTGACTCATAGGGACCCCTCCTTGGGGTTCTGAGGTGGTTTGTTGTTATGTGCCGTCGAGTAGAACCTGACTCATAGTAACCCCTCCTTGGGTTTCCAAGGCAGTATCACCCAGAAGTGGACTGCCCCATCTTCCTTCCAAGGAGTGGTTGGTGGGTTTGAACCACCAGCTTTCTGGTTAGCAGTCAAGTGCCTTAGGCACTATGCTACCAGACCATGTTGTTAGGGGCCATTAAATCAGTTCTGACTCATAGAGTTCGTATGTACAACAGAACACAATGCTGCCTAGTTCTGTGCCACCCTCACAATCATTGCCATGTTCGGGCCTATCACTGCAGCTACTGTGTCACCCATCTTATTGAGAGTATTCCCATTTTTTCTGGCCGTCTACTTTACCAAGCAAGATATCCTTCTCCAGGGACTGGTTCCTTCTGACAACATGACCTAAGTGAGAGATGGAGTCTCACCATTCTCACCTCTAAGGAGCAGCCTGGCTATATCCTCCAAGGAAGATTTGTTCATTCTTCTAGCAGTCCATGGTACGTTCAATGTTCTTCTCCAACACCATAATTCAAATGCATCAGTTCTTCTATAGTGTTCTTTATTCCTTGTCCAGCTTTCACATGCATATGAGGCAACTGAAAATGCCATGGCTTGGAGGAGACATACCTTAGTCTTTAAAGTGACATTTTCATTCTTTAACACTTTAAAAGAAGTCTTTGGCAGCATATATTCTCAATGCAATACATTATTTGATTTATTGACTGTTGCTTCCATGGGTGTTAGTTGTGGATCCAAGTAAAATGAAATCTTGGACAATTTCAATCTTTTTCCCCATTTATCATGATGTTATTTATTGGTCCAGTTCTGAGGATTTTGGGTTTGTTTATTTTGAAGTGTAATCCACACTGAAGGCTGTGTAGTCTTTGATCTTCATCAAGTAAATTCTTGACGTCCTCTTCACTTTCAGCAAGCAAGATGTGTCATATGCATACCACAGGCTATTAATGAGTCTTCCTCCAATCCTGATGCTGCATTCTTGTTCATATGGTCCAGCTTCTTGGATTATTTGCTAAGCATACAAATTGAAAGGATACAACCCTAATGCACACCTTTCCTGATTTAAACTATGCTGTATCCCTTTATTCTTTTTCAGTGACTGCTTCTTGATCTATATACAGGTTCGTGAAATATTATAATTACTACTTTGTACTGGGAACTCTGGTGGCATAGTGCCTAACACATTTGACTGCTAACCAGGAGGCTGTAGGTTCAAACCCACCAGTCACTCCTTGGAAGGAAAGTTGGGCAATCTACTTCCATAGTGAAAACACCTTGGACCTGACTCCATGGCAGTCTGTTGTGTTTTTATTACTATGTACTACTATTAAATCTCCTAAGTATAATCAAAATAGCAACAAAATAATAGTCTTTATTATGTGATAAGCCCTCTGATTTGTATTTTATAAGCATTTTTTTTTTAAATTCTCCCAACAAACCAAGAGGAAGGAACTGTTGTTATCCTCATTTTACCATTTTACCAATCAGAAAACTGATACATAGAAAAGTTATTTGTCCAAGGCACTAAGCTAGTAGCTGGCAATGATGTATCTGATTTCAGACTCCAAATTATTGGAAACTATATGATGATGTCATAGTAGTTAGTCACTCAGCTGCTAACTGAGAGGTTGGGGGTTTGAACCCAACAGCCATTCAGTGGGAGAATGATGAGGAAGTCTGCTTCCATAATGATTTATAGCTTTGGAAACTCTACAGGGCACTTCCACTGTGTCCTATAGGGTTGCTATGAGTTAGAATCTACTCAATGACAGAGTGTGGCTTGTTTTCTCTAAAGTATGAACAAGACTTTCTAGCTCCCTTTTCCTTTGTTAATCGAATTTGTAGACACATGTTCTATTTGTATATAATAGGTAGGCTAAAATCTGTATACAGAAATCTATTCATTCAGCATTGATTATAGTCATTCTAAGTTGACAGATGACCTTTTCCTATGGTATTTATCCAACGTATATTTATTAACTGCCTATTACTGTGGTCCACACCATGTTGTTGTTGTTGTTATGTGCCGTCGAGTCAGACCCGACTCATAGCAACCCCTCCTTGGGTTTCCGAGGCAGTATCACTATGGAAGTAGATTGCACCATCTTCCTTCCGAGGAGTGGCTGGTGGGTTTGAACCGCCAGCTTTCTGGTTAGCAGTCAAGAGCCTTAGCCACTACGCTACCAGAGCTCCTGTGGTCCACACCATAGGGTACCTAAAAATGAGTAAGACCTAATTCATCACACCCTTGAGGAGTTTATATTCTAGTTTCAAGGATAAGACTCAACAATAATACAAGATAGGTTGTCATAAAAGAAGTACAAAGTGCTTAGGGGAGTGATGTGAGAACCTAGCAGACTTTCTGTGAGACATGAATTTTTAATAGACTTTGGGTGAAGAACAGGCAGATGGGTGTGTGTGGGTGAAGCAGAGAAGGAATAAGAGATGAACAACTGGAACAATCTAGGCTGGTCATCTCTGTTGACTGGGTTAAGAAAACAATTTTTGTCACACATGTAACCAGGAGACAAATGCTAGACTTAGAGTGCCTGTACTTGTTTTAATCATCTGAGATCTTCTGCAAGCATTTTATGACAGATTAGAAATCAGCCCTCTACTTCAGGATGATGACTTAACCAACTATAGAAACAACTGAAAGACAAAAGACTGAAAATAGACTGTAATTCAGAATGGAGGGTTTCACAATCATTTAGGAAATGGTAATGCAGGATTGAAGGTAATAAACAGAAGGTAGATGAGAGGTAGGGGGGTGGGTTTAGTTATGATGAATTTCAAGTACAAGTAGAACATTTGTCTATGTGAATTTCCATCAGAAAATGATAACCTTTATCAAAACATCATCAATGTCTAAGTATCTCAATGGTAAATGGTATTACAGTAAATCAGAGTAAAAGAATATGAGATCAAATTCATCTTTAAATCTTAAAAAAAAAAAGTACCCTCACTGTTAATTGGAAAAAGCTCTTGCTTATTCACATATCAGATCCCGCATAGCTCAGTTCAACTCAACAATCATGTCTCAAGTGCCTCCACTGTTGAAAAGTTTTAATTTATTTATTTTTATTATTTTGTTATGCCCTTCCCACCTTCTTCACCTTGATCACATTTAGTTATCCATCCTTCAACACAGCTTGGTGTTTCTCCCCCAGGAAGGTTTTCCTGAACTGATAAACTTTAAAAAAAAAAAAAAAAAAAAAAAAACCAAAATCACTGCCATAGAGTTGAATCAGACCATAGTGACTCGTTCATGGGTTTCTGAGGCAGTATCACCATGGAAGTAGATTGCCCCACCTTCATTCTGAGGAATGGCTGGTGGGTTTCAACCACCAGCCTTCTGATTAGCAGTCAAATGCCTTAGGCACTACACCACCAGATCTCCTATCCTGGACTAAAGGTTCCTCTTTGCTTCGTTATGGTCCCTGCATACCCACATTGGAGCTCTTATCACATCAGGTTGGAAGTATCTGTTCATGTGTACATTTTCATCACTAAATTGCCTCAAAGAAAAGGCTACCATTTCTCACAGATTTAGTGTCCCCAAAGCCTAGCTCCATGCCTGGCATATCATTGTTGTTGTTATGTGCAATCGAGTCAAACCCGACTCATAGCGACCCCTCTTTTGGTTGCTGAGGCAGTATCACTACAGAAGTAGATCGCCCAACCTTCCTTCTGAGGAGTGGCTGGTGAATTTGAATCGCCAGCCTTCTGGTTAGCAGTCAAGTACCTTAGCACTATGCTACCAGAACTCCTTGCCTGGCATATAGTGAAAGCTAAATAAACATGTATTGCTAAGAACAGATTTGAACTATTAAACTTCCTGTAAGTTATGGTTATAATCAGTTTGTATGCTGAGAGATAAATGTAATAGCATATATTTCCACAAATAATAAGTTATAACACAGTTTGGAATGGGATTATAAAGAAATTTTCATGAAAAGTTGAGAGCCAAATCCTGCACTGAAAACTGGCAAAAATGAAAAAAAAAAATCTTTAAATACAAAGAAAAATAGTGTCCCTTTATTTGTTCCTGCAATTCTAACAGCAGTAAAGTCACCTGTAAGATTATTACCCACAGACTGATAAAATCTTGCTCCCAAAGTAACTCAAGTAAATTAATGGAGATGAGAAAAGCAGTAGCAAAGAATTTCATGAGATCCAATACATTTCTAAGAAAGCACAGCATATTTTCAAAGCTCAAGGAAATAAATACTTATTCTATAATTTCAAATACAAAAGTGAAGGATGAATCGATAAAATGAATTATCATGCAAAGCATAGTTCATTTATCACCATGTGGGGATAATGAGTATTTGTGTGTGTGTATGTGTTCATACACACATGTACCTACATATACACATGTGCTTAACTCATGTACAAATGGGTAAGTTGAGAAGGGTCAGGCTTTGAAAACTATTTCCGAGAAAATATATATATTCAGGCCAATTTATATACAAGTCACTGTATATATTTTACATACCAAAAGATTGGCTATGATCATTAGACCATTTTTGTTAACTTTTTTTTTCCAGACTGGACTTTCAGTATATATATATATAACAACATTGATAGAAAGAATTGAAGCATAAAGCCACAAAACACAACATTATTTCAATATATACACATAGTAGAATTGGAATAATTACACTAACTCTCTTTTAATCTCATTTCTATTAGAAGCATCTTCCAGTTCTTCCATCATTAACTCCTGTTTGGGTTTTTCAGCACTTTTCTTATAAAGCAAGTTTTCAACATGTGTGTATTGAAATGTAGGCTCCTGTGCTAGCTGATTAGATGGGTTTATGGCCATTTTGGTTTTTGCTCTTAGGGAGTAGGCTTCCTTGGGCTTTGCTCTCCTTTGGCAGAACTGGAGCTGAAAAGCATCTTGGAAACCACGGCGAAAATTCTCATTGAAGAAACCATAAATGAAGGGGTTTACACTGCTGTTGCAAAAAGCCAGCCAGTGTGCAAAGGGGTAGATGTAGATGTTGATAATATGTAGTTCATTTGTAGAAAGGTCAGCATAGTCTGACAGCATCATCAGGGTCCAAAGGGGCAGCCAGGAGAGAATGAAAAGCAAGGCCACAATCAGGAGCATCTTAATGACCTTCTGCTTCTTCTTGGACACTGTGTGCCACTGCTCTTGGTTCTGCTTGCCTATGTGGGGAACTGCAGTCTTGAAGAGTGAAATTCCAATCCTTCCATACATGATAACAATGAGGGACAGTGGGGTTAGGTAGATATTGGCAAAGAGAACAGTGGTGTAGATCTTTCTCATGTCCTGAGTTGGCCAATCTTCCCGGCACCAATAGACTGGACTGGTTTTATTCTGAGAATTGAATCTCACTTGGTAATATTTTTCTTCTTGTACATGTAACATTACTGCAGATGGAGATATAATGACGATGGCCAGGACCCAGATGATCACAATAATGACAAATGCTGTCTTGATAGTGAACTTTGGTTTAAAAGGGTAAACAACACACCGGAACCTGCAATCAAAGGCAAATATAGTGAGGCACTGCCTAATAACTTCTGATCAAGTCATGAATCAAATTCATTTAAGTAAATACGAGTCAGTAACCCACTTATAGGCCCTCTGGTAGCATAGTGCCTAAGGCACTTGGCTGCTAACCAGAAGGTTGATGGTTCAAACCCACCAGCCACTCTTTGAAAGGAAGATGGGGCAACCTACTGCTGTAGTGATACTGCCTCGGAAACCCAAGGAGGGGTTGCTATGAGTTGGGTCTGATTTGACGGCACATAACAACAACAACAACAACCCACTTATATTCCACTCAAAAAAATAGAAAATTGCCATTTATAGTAAAGAGATATATACATTGCTACTTTTCTGTATCTGATAAATGAAATGACCTTCAACTCTAAATGTAAATAAATGTACTATATCAGATACTACTACTAATAAAATTAATAATGGTGATTAGCATTTATTGAACATGAACACTTAAAACTCTGTTCCAGAATTCTAAGTGTTTTGCATGGATTTTTCTCTTTAAGATGCCCCATTTAAAAGATGGAAAAGCAAGCTTAGAAAATGTTAAAATCTTGCCCATAATTACACAGGCAATTTGGCTAAAAATCCCATATTTTTTTTTTTTTTTTTAATTTTTATTTTTGTAATGTTTCCTTCCCTCCCCTGCCACCCTTGGTAACCAACAAAGTTTCCTTCCATATATAAACCTTTCCTTGACTTTTCACAATAATGAACTAATACAATATTTGTCCTGTGATTGACTTATTCCACTCAGCAAAATGTCCTCCAAATTCATTCACTTTATATGGTGTTTTGTAGATTCTACATTATTCTTTAGTGCTGCATGGTATTCCACTGTGTGTACATACCATAGTTTAGTTATTCATTCTTCTGTTGAAAGGCACCTAGGTTGTTTCCATCTTTTTGCTGTTGTAAGTAGTGCTGCGATGAACATGGGTATGCATATATCTCTTTTTGTCTTGGCTCTTACTTCTTTAGGATCTATACCTAGTAATGGGATTGCTGGATCAAATGGTATTTCTAATTCCAACTTTTGGATTAGCCATACTGTACAAAGGTCATACTCTTAACTTGTATGGTTTGCTCACTAGACTGCTAGCTGTGTAGGACTGTATTATAGACTTAAATTGACAGTGGACAGCAGACTATTTCTTCCACATGCCCTTGTGTGATTTCTTTCCACATAATCTGTTGGCCATATGACTTTCTTCGGCCAATGGGACATTAGCAAACATGATGTAAGCTTCTATGTGCTTGTGCATTGGGGCTTGTCTTTTTGGAAAGTTTCCTCTCAGAAGCTAACTGCCAGGTTGTAAAGAAGCTTGAACTAGATGAGAGGTCATATGGAGAGAAACCCTGGAGGGTGAAAAGCCAGTCATCTTGTTCCTTTCCTGGCTTATCTCCCAGAAGAATGCTACATCATGAATGATTTCATCTATAAGACATGGAGCAGGGGAACCAAATAGATGAACCCAGAGAATCATGATTATTAGTAATTAGAAATAATTAATTATTGTTGTTTGAAGTTACTATGGTTTTTAGTGGTTTGTTTCACAGCCATTGAAATCTAGGGATTTTCATTATGAGTTCTGATTATAGGCCTTCCTAATATTCTGCCCTCTAGTGAGCATGGAAATTCATTTTTTATGTAGATAGCTATTTAGAATCTTAATGGTACTATTAATCTTCATTATGTTAATTATAAAATAATCATACCGTTATGAAACTATAAGGAGCTCTGGTGGTGTAGTGGTGGAAGTGCTTGGCTGCTAACCAAAAGTTTGGCTGTTCAAATCCATCAGCTGCTCCACAAGAGAAAGATATGCAGCCTGCTTCTGTAAAGATTTACACTCCTGGAAACCCTATTGCATTGTTATTCTCTGTCCTGTAAGGTCACTATGAATCAGAATTGACTCAACAGCAATAAAATTTAATATTTTACAGTACTGTTGACTATTTTGGTGCTCTGGTGGCATAGTGGATAAGGGACTTTACTGCTAACCAGGAGGCCAGTGGTCCAAACCTTCTCTGTGGAAGGAAGACTGGGTGATCTACTTCCATAATAGCCTCAGAAATCCAATGGGGGTCACTATGAGTGGGAAATGGCTTGATGGCAGTGAGTTTGGTTTTGGTTGACTGTTTAATATATTTTTTTTATTTTATGATAATTCTATGAAACTGAAATTGTTAGAAAAATTTTATATTTCCAAATATGCAGGTAAGTAAAACTTATAAGTGACAGAGCAGCAACTCTGACATATCTTGATAGAACAACACATAACCCTGGGATAGGACAGCTCTATTGTCATTTCTCATAACTCTTTCATCTCAGGTAGTAAAGGAAAAGTTCAAAAAGCCTTTTTTTTGGACCAAGACTATATGAATGAATTAAACTCAGGTCTTGTTGAATTAAACTGGTCTTTTGAATTGCCTGCTTGCTTGGGACTTTAGCTTTGCTTAGTTCCATTCAACAAGAGTCAACTTAAATCTCTCACAAGCTCCTGTTATCTCCAAAAAAAAAAAAACCCTAAACTCACAGCCATTGAGTCAATTCTAACTCATAGTGACCCCCACTGGGTTTCCAAGGCTGTAAATCTTTACAGGAGTAGATTGCCTTATCTTCCTTCTGCAGAGGAGCTGGTGGGTTTGAACTGCCAACTTTCTGGTTACCAGTCAAATGTCTTAGGCACCATGCCACCAGAGCTCCTGTTATCTAGCCATGTTAATTGCTGTAAACTATAAAAACTAAGAAATAATTTCTCTTTATGGTCAAGCTAGGATGTGAAAGTAATATACTCTAAGGAAGGGAATCTTAACACATCTATCTTTTGTATAAAAGAAATACTTGTTCAAGACAAAGATGTAATAAATAGAATTGTTTGAAAGGGTCTTAGAGCTGGCCTTACCCAAAGTTTCCTAGACAACTTAAAGGGCTTTTGTTTAATAAGCTGATTCTGGAAAATGAGGCCTTAGTACTGAAATGATTTTCACAAATCCCTGAGACACATAGTTAAAACTGTTTAAACATCAACCAGTAATATTTTATAATCCCACCTGAAGGATATGTAACTATGGTTGAAAACCTCTGTAATTAGCTCCTGAAATCAATCACTGTAAGCCTCTGTACTCAAGGATCCCATAGAAACCTATTCCCCACCCTAACCCATCCTCCTTGTGATCTTAACCAAAGGCTAACTAATCAAACAACTCTATTATAATTTCTTTGTTCCCTGGATTATATCTGTCTTTGTTAAACGTTCTTTATTTAGAGTCATCAGTTCTCACTTATGTGAATTGTTGTCTCACTGTATTTGAATGTAACATTTTCTTTCTTTCTGTGAGTAAATCCTCTTAACCTCATTTTAAGGATTGAGTGGGTTTTTTGTTTTGTCTTTGCTATACAACATGTACGATCTTCTGTCTTAACCCCTACATTTTCCTTAGTCTTCTAATCAATAAATTCTTCCACTCACCCACCTTTAAATTATGGTTACATGCATGTGCACCATTCTAGTATTTTATGCCTTTTCAAACTATAGTGGGTCTTCAAATATTGTGTATGTGAGGATTTCATATATGTATTTCCATATCCTCTGTGCAATGCCCAAGGAAGGTAAAAAGAACTAGACGGAAAATGGTTCCTGCAGAGAAACAGTCAATAGAAATACAGTTGATCCTGCATTTGAATTGTGCACTTTTTTTCCAAGGCATGAATCTTGGAGAAATTCAAGAGCCAACAGACACCACAGCAGAGGAATGAACAGAAAATGACTTGATGTAGATGAGTGGTTACAAACCAGTACCAGATGATGAGGAAGAAAACAAAGAAGAAGTAGAGCCAGAAAAAAAAAATGACATTAAACAATATGGCAGAATGTTCTGATTAGTCAAGACTGCTTTTGACTTATTTTATGACATGGACTTTTCTATGATATGGGCACTGAAACTAAAGAAAATGATGGAAGAAGGATTGGTACTATATAGAAACATTTCTAAAGAAAAGGAAAAGGAAAAATGTCAGACAGAAATTACAATATATTTCCATAAAATTACACCAAGTGTATCTTCCTTTTCTCCCTTCCTTTCCACCTCCTCCATTTCTGTCTCTGCCTCCCTGAAGCAGTGTAAACAGTGTTTCTTTTTCCTCCTCATACTCATCCTACTCAATGAGAAGATGATGAGGATGACGACCTTTATGGTGATACATTTCTATTTAATTAATAGTAAATCATCATCACGCCATACAGTTAATAAACTTATCTATTGTGTATATGTGTGTTTCTTTGTGTGAAAACTGAGTAACTGTACAATAGGAACTGTGTTAATTGACTATGCTATTGGTAAGGCTTCCTTTCAACTGTAGGCAATTAGTAGTTAAGTTTTTGGGGAGTCTAAAAGTATACATGGATTTTTGACTCCATGTGGGGTTAGCACTCCTAACCCCCACATTGTTCAAGGGTCAACTGTATCATGTAATAATTGATAAAACAGTGCTAAGGAGTTTAGACTTTATCCAGAGGGCAATGGGGATTCATTAGAAAGATTTTAAACTGAAAGATCAGTTATACAATTTGGATTGCTTCTTTGGGTTTCTATGAGGAGAATAAACTGGAGATTGGCTTGTATAACAATATAAGGCAGTAATGAAGCAATTTTCATCTCCCTAGGGACAAAGGATAACAGCAGAGTGCAGAAGATAATTTAGGACTAGTTAGAACCCAGAATTAACAAGACCAGAGAATGACTGGATAGAAGTTGAAGGGAGAGGAGATAAAACTTAAAGATAAAACTTAAGACTTTTACTTGAATTAGCTGAGTGATACAGCCATTCACTGGTTTGGGGAACATAAGAAAAGGAGCTGAGTTTTTTTTTGTGTGTGTGTTGAGGGTTACTGACAGTGAAGATAAGTTTGAGTTTTGTGTTGTTGGATGTGCAGGTGAAGTTATCTTGTAGGCATTCTGGATATAGGTATGAAATTTAGGAGGATGACTTTGGAGAAATTGGTTTGCAAATGTTTTTAGTTTTCCCCAAGAGCAGATCCTGAGAAAAGGATTTGAGGGCAAATAGTTTATATGGAAGGAGCTCTGATAGCACAGTGCCTAAGGCATCTCATTGCTAGCCAAGATTGATGGTTCAAACCTACCAGCCACTCTGTGGAAGGAATCTACTTCTCTAAAGATTTACCTCCTCCGAAACCCAACGGGGATTGCTATGAATTGGAATTGACTTGATGGGAGTAGATTTTTTATTTTAGTTTATATGGAGATGAAGGTGTGGTGATTCTAAAACATGTTCAAATCTTTGACACTTGTTCCATAAAAGGTGGAGTCTAATTCTCCTCCCTTAAAGATGTACTGGCCTTCACTATTCACTTCTAATGAATAAAATGCAGTGGAGTGGAGGTCATACTGCATAAGTTTACTGGCATTCTCTCTTGGGATGCATGCCTTCAGTATAATGAATGGACGTGTAAGAATCAGCTGCCTTAAGCTGCCTTGTTAGAGAGTCCATATGGTGAAAATACTTAGAATAACTGAGGAGCCCTGGCTGTTACTTACCACTAGCTCTTCAAGTCAGCCGAGCCTAGGCACTAGAAGTATGCAAGAGAAGGCTGTTTGCTTCAGCTTACAATTGCTCTACCTGATGGAAAGTGGAGCAGAGTAGAGACAAGTTGTATTTGTTCAAGCTGACCACATAGCAGTTTCATGAGCACAATCAATACTACTGTTGTTTTAAACTAAGTGGTTTTATTTTTGGAATTTTTATTTTTTATTTTTAATAAATTCACTGCTGTGGAGTTGATTCTGACTCATAGCGACCCCCTTTGGGTTTCTGAGGTGGTAAATCTTTTCAGAAGTAGATTGCCCAGTCTTCCTTCCACAGAGTGGCTAGTGGGTTTAAACTGCCAACCTTCTGGTTAGCAGTCAAATACCTTAGGAATTATGCCACCATTGATAACTAAAACTGTAGGGAGGTGATACATGGATGGGAAGGTATGAATTAAACCATCAGTCATGGTGGGTGATCAGAGTTTAGTCCTGAGAGGAACTTCTGGTAAATGGTGCCCAGCATTAACCTCAGAATTATCCAATTTGAGGGGAGAGGGATCTGGGTACTTCTACACTAATTCTCAAAAGTTTTTGGTTGAGGGCTGCTCCTGGAGGTGTTAATTCTCTAGTATTTCTGGCCTGCTCTGTTCAATGACAGAGTGGCTTTCCACAATTTGGATGAGAGATTGGAGATGAAGGTACTGTCACCTGAATGTCAGACAGAACAACTAAAAGGTCCAAGAGACATGGATAGGAAATGAAGAGTATCTACTACAGGAGCCATTGGCATGTTGATGGCATTTGAAGACTGTTGAATTATAGATTTACACGTACTACACTATATTAAGATAAATATTTCCTCACAAATAATCTGCATAATATTTCAGACTAATTTAATCACATTTGTATTTTCACCATTAGAAAATTCTCATTTCTACTGTGAAAAACTCTGAAACTATTCCACCTCTAATTATTTAATATTAAAATATCAAAAAAATAATAACTTTGTTTTCTTAGTTATGAACATTTAGAAAGTATATGCTTGGCTCTTAAAGGGGTAATGAATATAGACACAATTTTGAGCAGATATACATGATTTAGTAGATTTTTGTCTGCTTAAATGGATTAGTTGCAGACATGCCCATTTTTCCAGATTCACAGTTTTGCACTGACTTACCTATCTACTGCTATTGCAACTAAAGTGAAGACTGAAGCTGCAACTGATATTCCCTGGACCAAACCACTGATCTTGCACATTGTGTTTCCAAATGGCCATC